CAGCCCCGGCAGCGAGGGGGTCGCGGCCAGGCCCGGTGTGAGCTTTCTCCTCTTCTGTCCCAGCCCAAGTTCCTGTCCAAGGCAGAGCGGGAGGCCGAGGCCTTGCGGCGGCGGCAGCAAGAGGTGGAGGAGCGACAGCGGCTGCTGGAGGAGGAAAGAAAGAAGAGGAAGCAGTTCCAGGAGATGGGGAGGAAGATGCTGGGTAAGGTGTTGTCCCCACCCGTGGTCTGCCTGGCTGTGAGGTGCTGGCACAAGACCCCCTAGAGGGCCCCCAGCCCTGGAAGGGGTGTTGCTTGGCTCTGAGATCCTTCCCCTGCTCCCCAGAAGACCCCCAGGAGCGTGAGCGCAGGGAGCGCCGCGAGCGCATGGAGCGGGAGACCAATGGCACAGAGGATGAGGAGGGCAGGCAGAAGATCCGGGAGGAGAAAGACAAGAGCAAAGAGCTCCACGCCATCAAGGTAGCGCTGGGGGCCGGGCTAGTGTGGTGAGGGGCCAGGGGGCCAGGGTTCCTTCCCCACTGATCCTCCTCCACCCACAGGAACGTTACCTAGGAGGAGTGAAGAAGCGGAGACGCACGCGGCACCTGAATGACCGCAAGTTTGTCTTCGAGTGGGATGCTTCAGAAGACACATCCATTGATTACAACCCCCTGTGAGTGATGGGGTGCACCTGGGCCTGGGGGTGCCCCTGGGGGTGCAGGGCAGCCCCAGCCCTACCCTTGACGCTCCCATCCCACTCTAGGTACAAGGAGCGGCACCAAGTGCAGCTGCTGGGCCGGGGCTTTATCGCAGGGATCGATCTGAAGCAGCAGAAACGGGAACAGTCGCGCTTCTACGGCGACCTGATGGAGAAGAGGCGGACGCTGGAGGAGAAGGAGCAGGAGGAGTAAGCGTGCTTGGGGGGAGCTTGAGAGGGTGCCGAGGAGTGCCCAGGGTATTGGTCGGCTCTGCTTGGCCGGGATGCAGAGCTTGGGGGGTGGCTTTGGGCTGCCGTACATCCTTCGGATGGGTGGCAGGACAATTCCAGCCTCCCCAGAGGCACAGGGTGAGCCCTGTCCCCCTCCTTGCCCCCCACCTAGGGCCCGGCTGCGGAAGCTGCGGAAGAAGGAGGCCAAGCAGCGCTGGGATGACCGGCACTGGTCCCAGAAGAAGCTGGATGAGATGACAGACAGAGACTGGCGCATCTTCCGTGAGGACTACAGCATCACCACCAAGGGGGGCAAGATCCCCAACCCTATCCGCTCTTGGAAGGACTCTTCCCTGCCCCCCCACATCCTGGAGGTCATCGACAAGTGTGGCTACAAGGTGGGCACGGGGAGGGGGGCTGCTGCCAGCAGACTCTGACAGCCCTCTGGAGAGCTGGAGGCAGGGGAAAAGGGTTGTTTTTTTGGGGTCAGGTGTTTGGGGGGGTGAGGAGGGGAAGTTCTGCTCCCAAACCTGCCGCTCCCCTCCGCAGGAGCCCACCCCCATCCAGCGCCAGGCGATCCCCATCGGCCTGCAGAACCGCGACATCATCGGCGTGGCCGAAACTGGCAGTGGCAAAACCGCGGCTTTCCTCATCCCGTTGCTGGTGTGGATCACCACCCTGCCCAAGATCGATCGGTAGGTGGGACGGAGCAGGGCGGCAGGATGATGCTGCGGTGGTGGGGGGGGACCATGGCACCGTGGGTGACGTGGTCGTGCCTTGCCACACTGCAGGATTGAGGAGTCGGACCAGGGTCCCTACGCCATCATCCTGGCACCCACGCGAGAGCTGGCCCAGCAGATTGAGGAGGAAACTATCAAGTTTGGGAAGCCTCTGGGCATCCGCACGGTGGCCGTGATTGGAGGCATCTCCCGTGAGGACCAAGGCTTCCGCCTTCGCATGGGCTGTGAGGTGAGTGTTAGTCCCTGGGGAGGGCAGTAGGAGGATCTGGGGGGAGCAGTTTAGCCCCAGGCTGTGGACAACAACTGTTCTGACCTCCCAGATCGTCATCGCCACGCCAGGGCGTCTCATTGACGTGCTGGAGAACCGGTACCTGGTGTTGAGCCGCTGCACTTACGTGGTGCTGGACGAGGCAGATCGCATGATTGACATGGGTTTCGAGCCTGACGTGCAGAAGATCCTGGAGCACATGCCCGTCACCAACCAAAAACCCGACACTGATGAGGCCGAGGACCCCGAGAAGATGTTGGCTAACTTTGAGTCGGGGAAGCACAAGTACAGACAGGTGGGTGCAGGCAGGAGACCCAGGGTGGTGGTGTGTGTGCTTCCACGGGGCTGAGCACAGTCCACAGGCTGGAGAGGGGATGACCTGGGGCTTCGGAGAACAAGCCAAGGGAGCGGCAGCCATGTTCCTGCCCCACGGGGGACATCGCTCACTGTCCTGTTTTCTTGCAGACTGTCATGTTCACGGCCACCATGCCACCAGCAGTGGAGCGTCTGGCCCGCAGCTACCTCCGTCGTCCGGCCGTGGTCTACATTGGCTCTGCCGGCAAACCTCACGAGCGGGTGGAGCAGAAGGTCTTCCTCATGTCGGAGTCAGAGAAGAGGTGTGGAGGGGGCCGCTGGGGTGGGGTAGAATGGGGAGGCTGAATCTTGGGGGATGGTCTGGGGCATTTGAGGGTGAGGGAGCTCTGGGAGGGGGACTCTGGAGAACAGAGGGGCTCCTGTGATGCACTTCAGCCTCCCCTTCCCCAACTGTCCTCCTCCCCCCACAGGAAGAAGCTGTTAGCCATCCTGGAGCAGGGCTTCGACCCACCCATCATCATCTTCGTCAACCAGAAGAAGGGCTGCGATGTGCTGGCGAAGTCCCTGGAGAAGATGGGGGTGAGTCTGGGCTGGGTTGGAGCCCCTCAACTTTGGCTGTGGTGGGTGGGGGTCGTCCCAAGCCCCTGCACTCACATCCCCATGTGGGGATCCTGCAACACGGCTCTGGGCGCTGCTGGACCCTGGCTAACCCCCACTTTGTTCCGCAGTACAACGCCTGCACCCTGCACGGCGGCAAAGGCCAGGAGCAGCGCGAGTTTGCTCTCTCCAACCTGAAAGCCGGGGCCAAGGACATCCTGGTGGCCACTGACGTGGCTGGACGTGGTATCGACATCCACGACGTCTCCATGGTTGTGAATTACGACATGGCCAAGAACATCGAGGGTGAGTCGGGGCCCGTCCGGGGGTCTACGGGATGCAGCAGGGGCTGCCTGGCCTCAGTGCTGCCTGTGCCGAGGCCCTGCCTGACCCCACTGCCCCCCTGCAGATTACATCCACCGCATCGGGCGGACAGGCCGAGCGGGGAAGAGCGGCGTAGCCATCACCTTCCTCACCAAGGAGGACTCCACCGTCTTCTACGACCTGAAGCAGGCCATCCTGGAGAGCCCGGTGTCCTCCTGCCCGCCCGAGCTGGCCAACCACCCCGATGCCCAGCACAAGCCTGGTACCATCCTCACCAAGAAGCGGCGGGAGGAAACCATCTTCGCCTGAGTCCCTGGGGCCGGTGTCCCCCTCTTGGTCACCCCTCGGGGACAATGGGACCAACAGGGCTGGGGGCTGCCAGGACTTTTCTGGCCGCTCTTTTTGCAGACACCCAGACCCCTGTGCAGCCAGGACTGCCGACAGCAGAGTCTGGGACTGTCCCAAAACGTCCCCCCTGTTCTCCCAGTCCCCCTCCCTGCCTTCCCCACAGACCAGTGGAGCTGCCGGAGGCTGTTTGGGGACAGATTCCTCCCTGCCCACCTGCTACTGGGACCGGGCTGGTGCTGGGCTTCATGTGCTGGTTTTTAGGCAGTGCTGTCCCAGGAGCTGTGTTCACTTGATCCCTTTTTTAGCTGAAACTCCAGGCTGCAGGAATAAACCTGCAGCTGCGTTGCCGGACGTCGCCTCCTTGCCTTCTCCCTTCCTGCGGCGCCGCCAGCCCCTGGGTGCATTCTCCCAGCACCCTCCAGCACTCCCAGAGGTGCCAGGAGCTATCAATGTCCCTAAGGGGAGAGCCTTTGGGTGCTAGCACCCACCAGCACGGTTCCCCCCTTTCCCAGCCCAACGTCCCTGTGTGCCATAGTGTCCCCTGTCCCCTCCCTCGCCAGAGACACAGACACGGGCGCCTCCGAGCACTCTTGTGTTTCTGAAACCGGTTACAGGGAAATCAGTGCTTTCTACAAAAGAAATTATAACAAATCTGTGGCTCCCACCCGTCCCCCACCCCTGCCGGCTCAGGCCGGCTCCCTGCAAAGGGCCCCAGGGGGAGGGGGCTCAGCCCAGCGCCAGGACCCTCTGCCGAGCAGCCCCCAGCCAAGGGCAGTGGGTGCCATATTTACAGGACTGTGCAGTGACGTGCGGTGACGGCTACGCGGGGAGGGGGGCGATGGGGATGGGACAGCGAGTGCAGGCGTGGAGCAGCGCCCCCCCCCCATGCAGGGTCCAGCCGCCCCTCTCTGTCCCCCGTTCCCCCGGGGAGGAAGCGGTTTGGCTGCAGTGACCGGGGCAGGGAGAAATCGGTGCAGAGCGAAGCGACTGGTGTGGCCCCCTCCTCCTGGGGGTCCCATGCAGGGGCAGGGGAGGGGGCAGGTCAAGCCCTGGGGAGGGGGGAGCAGGCGCCTTCCCCTTCTTCCTCGGGTCTGCACGGGATGGGGGACACTGCTAAAACTGTCTCCCCCTCTCCCCATTACCTGGCCCACAGGTCTTTTCAGGGGGAGGCACCCTCTGTTTATGACAGCTGCCCTGCGGGGAATGAGACAGCCTGCGATGCGGGGGCCAGGCGGGGAAACTGAGGCAGGGAGAAGGCGTGTGGCTGCCCCCAGGTCCCCAGGAGCTGGGGTAGGGTCCTGGGGCATCCTGGCTGCCAGCCCCCCCTGTGCTTATGGCTGAAGACGTGCCCGGGGGGCCGGGCGCGAGGAAGCTGCCGGTGCGGAGGAGTTCCCCAAGAGAGGGAGATTGTCTGAGCACCCCCAGCACAGGGCTGGGGTGAGGCGGGGAGCGCCCGGGGTGGGGGGACCGGTTCCCAGCCGTGTCCCCCCCCCTCCCCACCCCTAATAGCTGTCCTTGGCCCAGGGCCGGCTGCGCTGCCAGTTCCTGTCGTGGTTGCGCTCGGTTTGGCGATCCGGCACGCCGGGGCCCTGCAGCCCGCTGTTGTGGTGCCGGTGGGGCTGGTAGAGGTCGGGGTAGGGGTCCGCGTACTCCTCCTCTTCCAGATGCCGGGAGCTGCGCTGGGATGCAGCCCCCCAGGGCTGGGGCGAGGTCTCCCCCGCCTCGTCCGATGGCATCAAGCTGTCGTGCTCCAGCGGCGAGTGCTCCCCCCGCTCCCCCAGCAGCTGCTGGCTCTGCGGGCAGGGATGGGACTTTGGGGATGGCGTTGGGGGGGCTGCGCCCCGGACTGTGTACCCCTGTGCCAGCTGCCCACAGGGAGTGGGGAGGGGGGCTCTGGGGGGTACCTGCAGGCCCGGGAGGCCGGTGGGTGAGGGCACGGCATGGGGGGCATGTGGCGGGTGGTGCGTGGCACGCCAGTACACCTCCAGGTACTCGGCCAGGTGCTCGCAGGCGTCCTCCAGCTGGTTCTCATCCAGGATCACGTCGAAGAGCTCCTGGGGGGACAGGCGAGAGGGGTCAGGGGTGGCTTGGTGTCCCCCCCAGGCATCCCTAGGGTGGGGGGACCTGCCGGCTCACCGGGGGACACTGCACCAGCTTGTCTGCCGCCATCATCTGCACGTTGAGGTGCTTCACCTGGGACTTGCCCCGGGACTTGATGAGCCGCTGCAGGACCTGGGGAGGGGAGACAAGGGTGACGGCACCGAAGGGGGCAGCCAGAGCCCCCCCCCGCCCCAGAACCGCGGTCACCCCTCACCTTGGGCGAGGACACCTTGACGTATACAATGATGGGTGCCAGAGAGGTCTTGGCCAGCTGGGCCGGGTGGTTGATGGTGTCGGCGTCCAGCACCACCAGCTGCAGGGACTTGGCCAGCTCAAAGATGCGCTCGATCTCGCTCTGTACCTCGGCTGGAGGGGGGACACGGGGGGGGACATGTCAGGCTGGGCTGGCCCCTGGGGGGGTCCTTGCACCCCGGGGTGAGCCTGGACCCTCACCGATGCTGGAGCGGGTGGTGGAGCGCTCCAGGATGGCCTGCTTGCCCAGGTTGTTGAGGATGGAGCGCTTGGCCAGGGAGAGGTCAGCTGTGATGTGGGTGATGGAGATCCTGGGGGGGGCAGAGGGATGGCGGTGGGGACCTGGGTACCCCCCTGGGCCATGGGAGGGGGGGGAGTCTGGGCTGGGGGGGGTGTCTCACCTGCCGTCAAATCTGTGCTTGAGGAAGTCGAAGAGGGCTTTCTGCATCATGTCGGTGACCTGCCGGTGGGGCCGCCAGCCCGGTGAGCCCACGGTGAGCCGGCAGCAGATGGCACCGGCAGGGAGGTGGCAGCCGCCCGGCACCCTGCCAGCAGCCCTCAGCCCCGCCATCTGCCCGTCACCAGCACAGGACGGGCAGGGAGGGGACGAGGGGCACAAGCCACCATGCTGGGGGCACAGCGATGTGGTGTCGTCGTCCCCCCCCGCTGGCCTCCCACCCCGTAGCCCCCTCATACCTCGTATCCTTTCAGCGAGGGCCCCACCAGCACCACAGGCCGCATGGAGGGGACCACATCATAGGGTGGGATGTGCTGTGTCTGCGGGGGGGACACACGACAGGGCGTTGTGTCAGCACCCTGTGCTCCCATCCCCAGGGAGGAAGGGGTCAATGAGCCTATTCCAGAGAACCCTGGCATCCTGGACCCCCCTCAGCCCCATAACCGGGAGCGGGGGGGGGGGTCTGCTCCCACCCTCTCCATCCCAGAAGCGGCTGCATTCAGTCCTGCCTGCAGCCCCCTCCCCATTTCCCCTGCCCCAGGGCACAGCCCTGCCCCGCGGACTCACCTGCTTCTGCTTCTGCTTGGCTTGGGAAGAGGAGAGAAGAGACAAAGATTGGTGACAGCAAAGGGGGGGACACCCCCCCCCCCCCAGGACACCCCCGGATCCTCCTGGGCCAGGACCTGCCCTTACCTAAAGAGGGGGGAGGCGATCGCCGGTTCCCGCTGTCGCCGAGGCCTGAGGCGTTGCCAGCTCTCCTAGGGAAAAGGGGGGTGAGCGAGTGTTGGGGGGTCTGGGGGGGATTGGGGGGTGTCCGGTCCCTACCTGGCTTTCTGCTCCTGCTTGAGCCTCATGGCTTCCAGGCGCTGGGGGCTGGGGATGAAGGCGATGTCCCCCCCCTCCTTCACTAGGCGCCCAATCCACCAGTCATTGCTGTATTTCTGGGTGAGGGCAGGGCAGGGGTGAGGCTGGGGGGGGGGTCCCTGGCCCTGTCCACTCCCCCCCCCAGCACCCCAACTCACCTCCTTGATGTGCAGGAAATCTTTGGCTTCAAAATTGATGGCGGCTCCCTGCACCGGGCACTCCTCATCCAGCGCCCCGCAGTAGCTGACATTGGTGCGCACAGCAAAGGCGACCGGCTTGTGCTGGGAATGGGTGGTGGGGGGGTGGGGGGACGGTGTCAGCACCCCCCGGGCCCTGCCAGCCAACCCCACCCTGGGGGGGGTCCCCCACCGCGGTACCTTGGCCCTCTCGAGCTGCTGCTGGGCTTGGCTCTCCACCTCGCGCCGGGCACCCTCACGGTCCTCGTCCAGGGACACGTCGGAGTCCAGGGACGGGCGGCTGGTGTAGGAGTCCGCCGAGCCCTGGGGGGACACGGCTGAGTGCCGGGGGGCTGTAGGGACCCCCGCAAAGAGGGATCTCACCCTGAGGCAATGTCCAGCCCAGGGAGGGGACACCGCTGACCACCGGCCCACAGCCCTTTCTGGCTTTTGGGGTATCCATGGTGGCATCAAGCTGGGTAAACACGGGTGGCATCACCCAGCATGGTTGCCCTGGGGTGCAGCCCCTGTGTCCTGGGGGGGAGCCATGAGGGGAGACCCCCACACCCCTGGGGAGGGCCGGGCTGGGGGCAGGATTCCCTGTCCCCCCGGGGATGTGGGCCTGCTGCTGCCACCCCCCACTCTCGGGTGCCTGGCAGGGGCTCAGTGCGGCCCCCCCCCGGCTCCCCCCCCCCCGCCGGTAATTACCCGTCGCCTGCTGCGCCCAGAACAGGCGCAGAAGCTGCGGTGAAATATTTATAGGTCCCTGGACGTGGCTGAGCCCCCCCGGCCCCCCTCAAGGCCCCCCGGGCCCTGCTGGGCTGCTCTCAGCGCCACTGCTCAGCACTGGCCCCCCCCCACACACACGGAGCCCCCCGCCCTGCACATCCCACCTCGCTCACATTGGGGGGGGCCTGGGCCCCCCCACCCCGACGCAGGCAATATGGTTTCCCAGCTTGGCCCCCCCCAACATG